TTGGTACTTACCTGATACGCCCGTTCTCTGTGAGCTGTGAAGAGCATCCAGCCCCTCCCTTTTATTCCGTCTGGTAGGGGGTCTGTTCCGGCCAGGGTTATTACATAGGCTTAAGCATATAGGGTATACCTCGGCTTCACAAAACTGGGGACACTAAGGAGGAGTCTCGTGGAGGAGGAGGAGTTTCCTCAAGTTTAAGCCCAGCCTTCCTAGAAGAGACTGAAGCACCTTCACCATCACTGAATGCTCTTCACAGTTCACAGAGAATGGGCGTATCAGGTAAGTACCAACGCCCTTTCTCTACAAAAAACTTGTACTCACTTGCAGTAAAAAACTCACTTTCAGTAAAAATAAGATTATAGGAAGCTGATTTGGTACTGCATTCCATAGCAATTAATTTTAATTAAAGGAGTTTTTAATACTATGATCTCATGTGAATAGAAGGAAATGTCCTGATGAATCATCAATAGAAGAGAATATTTGTAGCTCAGGGTTCAACGGTGGGGTTCTTGATGATCTCTGAGCTTGGTGTTTTTCTTGCAGACATTTCATTATCAAACTGTTTGCACTGATGATGTTACCTAGCTTGGTAATGAAATGTTTCCAAGAAAACCACCAATTTCAGAGAGCACCAAGGACCTCACCATTCTGATGAATTGCAAGTGATTTTATTTATTGTGCAGACACAAAGCAATAAAGTGGGTAAACTTCTCAAGAGCTGTATTTGTAAATGCTGCTTTAGAAAACCACAATACACAAGGCGGTGATTTCATTGAAGTGGATAAAGGCAAAGTTTTCAGCCCCTTGGTTTGGGATTATCTTTCAATCCACGTATTGTTTAATTGCTCTTTTGTTTAAAAATTTTGAAAAATTTATCCCATCCATTCAATGCATTGCTGGCAAATTTGGACAGTGTTATAAAATGGGGGCTTGATACTGCACATGGGCTCTGTAGTAAGGATACTATAAGGAAAGGATATCTAACCTTGACAACTTTAAGACTTACGGATTTCAACTCCCAGAATTCCCCACCCAGCATGGCTGACTGGGGAATCTTGGGAGTTGAAGTCCACAAGTCTTAAAAGTTGCCAGAGTTGGACATCCCTGCTGTAAGGCTTCTTGTTTCTCCAGATCTGAAGTGTTTTCTTAAGGTTATCACCTAAATTTCTGAGACTGTGGTGGTACCCCTTAAAAGTTTGGTGTGTGTTTACTGGCTACTTACCTTATCCCTGCCTCCCCAGTTGCAGGGCACAGCTCCACATATAAACGTACCAGTAGATGCCTAGTTTGCTTGTAACAAAAGGTTGGCTGTGCATTTTATAGCACTTTGGTTGCTGGAGGCACCGTCCCCAAACACTTGCAGATGATAGCTGCATCTCCTACTGTACCTGTAACAATTTAATTGTATAAGTCAGCCCAGTCAAGCATTCCCAGCACATGACTGGGAGACATGAAATTCATTGTCATTATTGTCCCTGTCATTTTGGATCATTATATCCTACTGCAGAATTTTCCTCACTCCAATGCTTTTTTTTAACCTCCAGGAATCAGGGATTATGGCTGAATTGGAGGTGGGGGCAGGACTGTGATCTACATTTACCTCAGGGGAGCCACAGATTAAATTGGCTTTGCTCGCTGACTGGCTAGATTCATCCATTTGCGTGTTCCGAGTTTAAGGCAGCAAATTTATGAGATATCTGGATGAAATGTCCAGATTTTGCTTTATTTTGTTGATGTGTTTTGGCTTGGGAATCAAATGCTGATTCTTACAGAGGGAAACCTAAAGGGAAGGTGTGTTCCAGGTCCCATGCTGTCCTTAAAAATACAGGATTATTCTCAACGTTATTTGAGCATTATCCTGCAAATTCAATATGGAGAAAAGTAAAGTCCTACACTTAGGCAAGAAAAACCAAAAGTACACATATAGACTGGGTGAAACCAGGCTCAATAGCAGTAACTGTGAGAGGGATCTTGGAGTCTTAGTGGACAACCAGCTAAATATGAGCCAGCAGTGTGCAGCCGCCGCCAAAAAAGCTAATGCAATCCTAAATTGTATTAACAGAGGGATACAGTCAAGATCAAGGGAAGTACTAATTCCACTCTATAAAGCCTTAGTAAGACCACACCTAGAGTACTGCATCCAGTTTTGGTCACCACATTATAAAAAAGATGTTGAGACTCTAGAAAAAGTACAGAGAAGAGCAACCAGGATGATCAGGGGACTGGAGACTAAAACATGAAGAACGGTTACAGGAACTGAGCATGGCTAGTCTAATGAAGAGAAGGACCAGGGGAGACATGATAGCGGTCTTTCAATATTTGAGGGGCTGCCACAGAGAGGAAGGGGTCAAGCTATTTTCTAAAGCTCCTATAGGCCAGACAAGGAACAATGGATGGAAACTGAAGGAGAGATTTAACCTGGAAACAAGGAGAAACTTTCTGACAGTGAGAACAATCAACCAATGGAACAGCTTGCCCTTGGAAGTTGTGGGAGCGCCATCACTTGAGACTTTCAAGAAGAGATTGGACTGCCATTTGTCAAAAATGGTGTATGGTCTCCCGCTTGGACGGGGGGTTGGACTAGATGACTTACAAGGTCCCTTCCAACTCTGATTATCTGTATCTAAACTCCCTTGGCATTTCCCAGTGCGCCATGGGGTGGTCAGAGAAAAGATTGCATTGAAGTATGTAATTTATATGTGTGAGGTTTGGGTGAACTTAATAGCAAGCCTTTAGTTAATATGGATCTTGTTCCATGAAGTAGTGATGATGGTGTCATGGATACTGCTTTAAAGAGGAAGAGAAGGTTGCTGCAAAAAAGTGAAGCTTCCACTTCTGTGATGTTATTAAGACAGTAGTTGAACATCCCTCCCCCTCAAAAAAAATGTAAAGACAATTGTTAATTCCTCCACTATGCTTAATGAAAGAATGGGTTATTTTGGATTTTAAAGGCAATGTGACGTTTCACTTAACAACTGGGAGTGATTCGCTTAATGAATGACAAAGAGGTGGTAAAATCAGGTGCACAATGCCTCGATTAATGACGGCACCACTTAATGAGGAATTTTCAGGCCCTATTTCAGTTGTAAGTCAAGAAGGATTTGTAATCTTTGGAAATCCAATTAGGAGCCTGTTAGAAAGGAGCTTCTTCATTGTTCAGGATCTTGGAACAAAGACTTTATAAAGAATAACCAACCTATAAAATATTAGGTGCCTGTTGAACCTTTGGCCCAGGAGGATTGACTTTGGTGTACTTTTATAAGAAGCACCTTCCTCCCATAAACTTAGGACCTCAGGACCATTTTATTTCTTCTTTATACGCAGGAGGCATCATTTGAGTGTGTCTATTCATTGGCCATTATACAGAATAACAGAGTTGGGAAGGACTTCAGAGGTCTTCTAGTCCAACCCCCTTGCATAATCAAACTTTAATGTTTGAGTTTTGTATTTACTGGATGAAAAGATGAGTGGTGTTTTCCTACACTTGCCCACAATGTGGAAGAATTTGCCTTATAATTACTGAGAAGAATAGAAGTCCCTGCAGGTTGTTTTTATTTAGTGACCATAATTGGGATTGACAACTCGGTCTGTAAGCAAAGCAGTCACTAAGGGAACCGCAACTGTGCTTAGGATCTTACCTCGGCTTTCCTTTGCTGTACAGATCTGCAAAGGTTGTTGAACGTGAGGATTGGTTGGGAAGTTACTTTTTCATTACTGTCATCATTGTGAACAGTCATTGAAAGAGGCAGTCACTAAACGAGGGTTATCTGTACGAAAAACAAGCAGTGATGGAGGTGCAAATAACTGGAGACATGAAGTGAACGTCTTTTAAAAGTAGCTGGAACATCAGCTGTCATGGAAAGGGCTGCTTGCTTGGTGATATTCATGCATGTATGCTTACGCATGCCTTCAAGTCAATGTTGTCGGAGACCCTGAAGTTTTCATAGCAAAATTTCAGAAGTGGTTTGGCCCAAGGACACACCCGCTTCCTGCATCAGGTGGGACTAAAACTCATTGTTTCCCGGTTTCTAGTCTGATACCTTACCCATTATACCAAACGGTCTCTTCTGGTTAATTTAACCTTGTTTGAAGCCTCTGAACCCAATTTCTGTAGTTTTTCTTCTTTCCCAGAATAACTGGGCTCTTCTTTTAACCATCCCACTTTTATTTATTTTGGGAAGGGTGAGAATTCCTGCTCCTTTTGAAATGAAGGAAGACTGTACATATACACTTGTGTGTTTTTGTACGTAAGAGTGTTTTTTGTGTGAGATAGAGAACGGTAGTTCACATATGTACAGTACATGGGAGATGAGTTAATTTTTTAAAAATAGAGTTTAATTAGTATTATTAGAGTAGAATAATTAATATTTATTAAATTAGTATGAGTGATTATTAGAACATTTTTACTCTGTTCCTTTTTGAGATAAGTGGAGTATATGCACACAGAGTTACAAGTATGCCATGCTTGCACATTTTTGGTAGGAATAGGGAAATCTCCCAGTCTGGTTTCAGCTGAAGTTGGTAATCCTAGTTTGACGAGCTAGAAAGAGTACAGCAAGATTATTTGGTGTGTGCGTCTCTGTGTGTGTGTGTGTGTGTGTGTGTTCAAACTGTAGTCAGAATTCCTGATGAGTAAATAGGGTATATTGCTAATACCATCAGACAGCAAGCATAAATTAATGTCAGACAAATGTCAATAACAATCTTCGTACATGTGCTTTTCGTTCTCATTGCCCTGGAGTACCCTGGGGTGTTTAAGTATGAGAAGCTGGTGGCCCTATATAATATTTGCTGTGGGAAATGACAATGCAGCGTTTAGGGTGCTCGTGACAGATGAAAGTAAAAGCAGGAAGCAGCTCTTGGTTTTGGCTCTTAGGTCTGCTGTAATTAGCTGTATTCAACTCAGATCAAAAAAAATTGTACAGTATTGCACAAAGTGCTTCTAGTCTCTATTATCTAAATTTATTCATTGTTTTGGCATCTTTGTGGTGTATGATTTCCTTGAAAGTGCATATTTTATAAGTAAAATACTACAACCATTCTGCTGTGTATTTTGTAGTGTGCTAGCTTTTTCTCTCTACAATGAATAAAACTTTCTCATTATTTATTTAAAAATTACCACGTATCTCTGGTGAGTGATAAAGTCACCTTGTAATTCTGTAAAGTAATTCTGCATCCTCCATATGCCTCTGACATATGGTCTCCTGTCTATTTTAATACCTGGGATCATAATCCAAGTTGGTTTAGACAAGATCATGTAAAGTAGAATTTTCTTGATGTCCTATAAAACAGAGAGTAGTTTATAAAACTGTTGACTGGTTCTATTTTTTTTTTAAAGTCTTCTGGTCAATTTGAACTGAAAAAAAATACAACCCCCTGTTAGAATCTGTTTGTTTATGTTTATCTCACTTTATTTTTTAACACTCTATATCTCATCTTTCATCCAGTAGTTTAAAACAGTGAACCAAATATAGATATGTGAGAAAAATCATTTGGTCTTTGCTAATTCAAAGTTATACAAACTGTGTCGGTAGGAATGTTTGTACCCTTCAGTTGGAACAGATGCATTATAGAGCAATAATTTTTGAATCAATGTAGCTCAGATGGGCTAACTTATAGAAGGCGTCCAAAATCCGGGACCCAGAGCCCCGTAGGATTGAAATTTGGTTTCAATGCTACTTCACCTCCATGCTGCTGTGGTCAGCCTCAGTCACATGATCATCATGTCCAATGATCCCTGCCACCTTCCTACAAAGAAAGCCAATGGTAAGTCCCGCCTACTCCCACTGATTTTTTGCCCACCTTGGTTATTCTGTTTGTCTACCTAAGTGAGGAAATATCCCTAAAATGATGACCCAACAGGTCCTGGGTTCTCTAGCATTTTTATAAAACGTTACAAGGCTTGACACCAAACTTATAGTACCATGATGGCAAACCTATGGCATGGGCACAGGAAGTGGCATGCAGAGCCTCTTCTGCTGGCACACAAGAGGTTGCCTGGAAGAGCCCCATTGCGCATGCTGCCACCCGACAGCTGATTGTTGGGTATCTGGCATGCATGCGCGGGAGATGCGTGCACATGCGTAGAGATGCATGGCGTGCAGGGGGATTGTGTGCGCATGCACAGAGATGCGCAGTGCGGGGGGGTCACGCGTGCATGCGCAGAGGGTATGGGGGGGCCAGCACGCTTTGCCTTCTGGGTGCTGGCATGCGAGCGCGTGTGCGCACACAATTTATGGCGCGGGAGCCAAAAAAGGTTAGTCACCACTGTTATAATATTTCCGGGATTGTCTCATAAGACCAAACCTGCCCCATCTGTGCATTCAACCCAATTGCTGATGGTCTCCTCCCACTATAAGGATAAAAAGATGATACCCCAGAGTTGTATCTTGTGGGTGACAGCTCCCACGCTATAGAATACCTTGTTCCCCTGAGATGGTAGAAGTCCCCATTCTGCTTGTATTCCACAAGATTGTGGGGGAGTCATTTGATTCCAGTGAACTTTGGACAGGTAGATTGAATCAGGACCCCCATGTGTAATGGGTAACTTTTTTAAAATTGTAATTTAGGTTAGTATGAGTGTGCATTC